CGCCGCGCGCAGTACTCGAGCGAGGAGGAGCTGCTCCGCTACTCGCGCGACCTCGAGGCGCTCGCCGCCGACCCGTCCAATCTCGAGCTGCGGCGCCGGCTCGCCGTCGGCGACGATGTCATCGACCCCGCGCGCCGCGCCCGCGAGATAGCGAACTGGCTTCAGCACCTCGTGCTGCCGCAGCGGCGGCGAGACCTCGACCACGTGCGCGGGCCGCGGGCGGAGGCACGCTACCCGCCGCCGGGCCTCGCCGGCTCGCAGCTCGTCGGCGCGGCGGGGCGGTTGGGCAAGCCGCTGGGCGCGCCGGCAGCCAGGCCGGGAGAGGTTGTGGTCGACAACCCGTACGACGGCTCCGAGGCGGCGCGAGTGCGGCTGCTCGGGGCGTCGGAGGCGGTCGCGCAGGCAGCCTTCAGAGGACCCACGCACACGCACACGTCGGCAGGAGCAGTCGGCAGCCTCAGCCTATGACCCGCAGGCGGTCGCCGCGGCGCGGGTGCAGCGCGAGTGGGCTGCGGAGACGACGGTCGCGGAGCGAGTGGAGCTGTGCGGCCGGTTCCTCGACGCGCTCGAGGCGGACGTGGATCGGGTCGCGGCCGACATCACGGCACAGATGGGCAAGCCGCTCGCGGCGAGCCGCGGCGAGGTGCGCGGGGTCCGCGAGCGCGCCGAGGCGATGATGGCGCTCGCGCCGGCGTCCCTCGCGCCGGAGCAGCTCCCCGAGAAGCCAAGCTTCACGCGGCGCATCGAGAAGGTCCCCGTCGGCGTCGTGCTCGCCATTGCGCCGTGGAACTACCCGCTGCTGACCGCCGTCAACTGCGTGGTGCCTGCGGTGCTCGCCGGCAACGCCGTGCAGCTCAAGCACTCGCCGCGCACGCCGCTGTGCGCCGACGCCTTTGAGCGCGCCTTCGCCGCCGCCGGCGCGCCGGCGGGCCTCGTGCAGGCGAGCCCGTTGGAGGGCCCTTTCTAGTCGCGCCCTCAGCCCTCTCACCGCCACAAGCCTCACCGCACCACCACAAGCCTCACCGCCCTCTCCCCACCCCTCCCCACAGGCGCTACCCTGCAGCAACGAGGCGGTGCACGCGGCCATCGAGCTGCCGCAGATTGGCCTCGTCTCATTCACCGGCTCGGTCAAGGCGGGCCACGCGGTCCACGCCTCCGCGAGCCGCCGCTTCATCGACACGACGCTCGAGCTGGGTGGCAAGGACGGCGCGTACGTGGCTGCCGACGCGGACGTCGCCGCCGCCGCCGCGTCGCTCGTCGACGGCGCCTTTTACAACGCCGGGCAGTCGTGCTGCGCCATCGAGCGGGTCTATGTGCACGAGACGGTACACGAGGAGTTTGTGGCGCGTGCGCTTGAGCTCGTGAGGGCGTACCGGCTCGGCGACCCGCGCGACGGCGCCACCAGCCTCGGCCCGCTCGCTCTCCTCTCCGCGCCCGCCTTTTTGCGCGGGCAGGTGCTCGACGCGACGGCCAAGGGGGCGCGGCTGTTGTGCGGCGGCGTCGAGACGGCGTGCCCCGCGACGGGGCGCGGCCGCTTCTTCGCTCCGGCGCTACTCGACGGCTGCGACCACTCGATGGCGCTGATGCGCGACGAGTCCTTTGGGCCCGTGCTCGGCGTGTGCAAGGTCGCCTCCGATGCCGAGGCGGCCGAGGCGGTGGACGACTCGCCCTTTGGCCTGACCGCCTGCATCTTCACCTCCGACGTCGAACGCGCCGAGGCCTTTGCGGCGCGCGTCGACGTGGGCACCGTCTTTATGAACCGGTGCGACTACCTCGACCCGCTGCTGCCGTGGACCGGCGCAAAGGCGTCGGGCAAGGGCGCCAGCCTCTCGGCGCACGGCTTCAAGGCCTTCACTCGGCTCAAGGGAGTCCACTTCAAGCACGACCCGCTGGCGTGAGTCCGAGGCAGAGGGTAGTACGTGTGTCATATTCTGTGCCCCCTGGCGCGTTGGCAGCGACCCGGCACGGCAGTCCCAGTCGTCTCGACTCCATGAGTCCTTCTCTCGACGAGTTTGCGCGCGCTAGAGCGGGTAGGCGGCTTTATCGGGGACTGCCCATCTCTCGTGAGTCTCGATTTGAGAGACGGTGTAGCAACGAAAAGTGTAGAGTGAAAAAACACTACATCGGGCCGAGCCTGATGTTGCAGTGGGGGCACGCGACGCGCGCAGCGCATGCGGCGCTGCGCGACCGGGTACAAAGCCCCAACGCGCCCAACCCCGCGGTCGGGTCTCTCGAGGGTAAAGCCGTACAACAAAGCCCCCCCCCCCCCCCCAAATGGACGCCGGCAACCAGCCCTCGTCCGTCCGCAAACAATGTACGATCTGAGCCGAGCGATGCTGGCGCCGCGGCGAACCGCAACGGCGCGACGAATGCGGACGCGACGAGCAGCGATGGCGGGGCGAGTCGCAATGGCGCGATGAGCC